CTTGTTGCTCTTCTCCAGACGAACTCCTCATTCGAGAAAGTCTTCTCATTAACAAACTCAAACCCTCTCTCAACTTACAAGGCAGTTCGGTCCCTCTACTTCTACTCTGATCCACTCCTCTTTCTACTTTTGTAATATAATATCTTGCAAATAGTTGTAATTTATTCATATTTCTGTGTTTTCCGCTTTGTATGTCATTGCTCTGAAGATGTTTTAAGTTAAAGACGAAACGTTAGCTTTCTAATAAATATTTTAAACTATATTTTTGTTATGGCTCTTTTACGTATTTTCTGCTGGGCATTAATATTTATATTAAGATTACGATTCCCGCCTGGTTCATCTATCGCAAGTATAACTAGGGTGTCACATGTGTGGAAATTTACCTCGCTATAACTCAAGGACTGTTGCACGGACATTTTCAATGACGATTTGTAACGCAACGCATGGATGTATACCAATCAAATTTTGTTCCATTTAAAATCGTCGTTGCAAATCAATGTATAGTATACACTCTAAGCTACAGTATATTTCCGGGCCCAAGTGCAAAATCTATGCATGATCTGCAAGTTTGCTTCCAATTCCTTGCCCTATATGCATGGTAGTGCATTAATACAGTTCAGTGGCGGCGGAACAGGGGGGGCTAGGGGGGCTTCAAAAAATACATGAAGAATACCAGAATGCGAGACCATTTATACAAACTACGAAGTCGTCAAATTACTGCTCGCCGGCTAAAATGCAAGAGAAAATATCCTACTTTGTGATCAAGTGAATGTAAATTGATTTTGTTTCACCCTGAGTGGTCCCTCCTTTCCGCGGGTTTAGATTTCCGGGCATGCGAAAGGAAAGGAGGGACTGCAGACAACACATCAAGAAATGAAATCCGCGTTGCCCACATGCACAACGCAAAATTCCCATTGGTCGAAATCGATACGCCTGTCAATCAAATCTGATACGTAGTAATTATGCTATAAATAATTTCCATTAGTAAGAAAAAATATTATAATGAATATTTTATTAAAAATAGTATGGACAGCAAAAAAGTATGGAAGGGCATTAAAGAAAGTGTGTAATCAAGGCCTCAACAATTCAAATGTACAAAAATTATGAATGGAAATCAGAAAATAAGTGACCCCAAACTTATTACAAATATTTTTAATAATTATTTTTCAAATGTTGGTAAGAATTTTGCAGATTCAATACCAACTGTTCAAAACACTCCAACTGAATACCTAGGAACACCTGCTAGAACACCTATTATTGATACATTATGCAAGAAAATGTCTCAAAGATCGAATTGGCGTCTTGAAAAATATTAAGAGAAATCTTCCCATTAAGGAACGAATTCTGTTCTTCAACTCAATGATCAAGCCTGTTATGTTGGTTGGAAGTCCAGTTTGGGACTCCTGCTCGCGCGAAAACATTGAGAAAATGTCCAAGCTTCAGATTTAGAAAAGAGCAGCCCGTGTAATTTTGGAAGCAGATCGGCGAGAAAGTAGTGATTCCCTTTTTAAACAACTGAACTGGTTAACAGTTTTTGATGAAAATGAAATTAGGAAATACTGTCTAATTTATAAGAGAATTAATGGCCTAACTCCAAATTATTTAAATAGTATGCTAGCTAGAAACGTTGACACTCATTCAAGATCGACAAGACACTCTAGTGTAAACTTAGTTTGTCCTAGATACAGGAGAGCCTCAGAAGGAGGTAGAACATTTCAGGTCTTAGGAACAAAACTATGGAATACGATACCGGTAGATATTAGGAAAAAGGAATCATATATATAACTCATTTTATAGAGCTAATCGCACTTATTACTATGCCAAATAGTGACTTTTTAACTACATGGATATTTATTCTATTTTTATACCTCAATTTTTATCTATGATATTAAATTCCTGATTTTGCATGTATAATCTATAATATTTGTTATCTAATTGAAGGCCACGAGTTTATCAGTGTAAGCTGTCGAGTGTAACCCTCTTGAAATAAAGTTGTTTATTATTATTATTATTATTATTATTATTATATTATTATTACGTATATTAGATATGACATTGTATATATACGTATATAATTTCAATAAAGTTTCCATTATTATTATTATTATTATTATTATTATTATTATTATTATTATTATTATTATTATTATTATTATTATTATTATTATTATTATTATTATTATTATTATTATTACTTGGAGACATGACTCCATTCTCAATTTTATCTCAAAAATATTCCAACCTGACCACAACTCCACTCTATTTGTTGACCTTCCTGGATACAAGAGCCCGTCAATAATAACCGGTGACACTTATCGCCCAGACCTGCTTCTTTCGATTTCAAATGATTGTCTGTACATACTCGAACTCTCTGTCGGATATGAATCCAATCTCCAAAACAACGTCGATCGCAAAAGGGAAAGATACAAGGATCTAATTACGCAGCAGAAAGACTGTCAAATTTCAAAACTGTCAAATTTATTAATTTGTCTATTAGTGCCTTAGGTGTTTTCTCAAAAAAATGTAACACGTTTATGAAAATGTTGAACGAAGTTGGTCTTGATAAAAAACATCAGAACTTTTGTGTTAAGAAAATAATGTCCATCGCCATCAGAACAACGTACTATATATTTTGTTGTAGAAACAAGGATTGGACCGATCCGGACTTGATGAACATTTAAGAATGAGCTTTCTCTTAGTTTTATACCTGTAATATAGTTTTATCAATAATTAATAGTTCAAGTAGTCAATTATAAATTACCTTAATTAGTAAGATTTATAATTGTATATACATAAAATGTCAAAATAAAGTTTCCATTATTATTATTATTATTATTATTATTATTATTATTATTATTATTATTATTATTATTATTATTATTATTATTATTATTATTATTATTATTATTATTATTATTATTATTATTATTATTATATTCATATTTCTGAGAAATACGCCCAGCTTGGCTTTTGGAAATTGAATAAAACTGGTATTCCGTGCAACCCTATCCATTGGTTTCAATTCGCAGACGACGCGGCTGTCATCAACAGCCAAGAAAATGAAAATCAAATTCTGCTCAATCGTTTCACAGTATGGTGTCAATGGGCCAATATGATAATACGTGTTGACAAGTGCTCTTCATTTGGAATTAAAAAACGCTCATCTAAGTCTATCCAGTACCAACCTAAGCTGTTCGTTAATAACCAACTTATACCCCGTATCGAACTCTGAGAATCTTTCTGCTATCTTGGTCGTTGTTTCGATTTCAACATGTCCGATGAAAGACACAAGTCCGAATTGTGTGATCTGTTTAATGATATTATATCGAAAATTGATAAATTACCTTTACACCCCCGAAACAAAATTCTTCTATATAGTCGCTACTTACTCTCAAAAATCTCATGGAACTTAACAATAACCGATATATCTAAAACTTGGATTTGCGAAACTTTAGATAACATTGCTACTAAATATATTCAAAAATGGCTGGAACTTCCAATATCTGCAACCCTTAGCAATGTGTATCTTCCCCAAAACAAATTTGGTTTGAATATTATTTTGCCTTCGACAAAATTTATCCAATGCCAAACTGTTTCTCGTTCAACTTTAAAAGCGTCTATAAACGAAGACATCAACAAATTATGGTCAATAACAAGCACGAACAAGAATATTCAGTATGATATATATAAAAATACGAAAGATGTCTTGAAAGCCTTTAGGAATGAAAATGAACAGAGACTACAAAACCACCTTATCTCACAAGGTTCTTTCTTCTCAAGTATCATCAAAAACTCCACGTCATCATTCAATTCCTTATGGTCATCCGTTCAATCCAGACTTCCTAAGAATATATTTAATTTCACTGCCCGTTATATCAACAACTCCCTCCCTACTCAGAAAAACCTGGTCAAATGGGGTCTGTCATCGCCTGCCGATTGTTCCTTTTGCTCCTCTCCTGAGTCACTCCTGCACGTTATCTCTGGTTGTAAAGCATACCTAGATGAAGGGCGATTTACGTGGCGGCATAATTCAGTCCTGAACTTCATTGCATCCAGCCCTATGAGTGCCGAGCGATCCAAACTCTGCGCAGATTTGCCTGGCTTTATTACTCCGTCAGTTATCACTGGTGATCAGTTACGTCCAGACCTTCTCTTGGCAATTGAAAATAAAGTTTTATATGTTTTGGAACTGACTGTTGGGTTTGAAACAAATCTTACCTCTAACTCAGATCGAAAACATAAAAAATACCTGCCGCTTATTTCAGATCAAGAAAGTAACTATGATAAGGTAAAATTTGTTAATGTATATCCATAAGCTTGCTAGGCGTTTTTGGTCAATCGACGAACACCTTAACGGATATGCTCAAGGAACTGAAGTTCGATGAACAACAAATTAAATACATTAAAAAGAAAATCATTGCTATTTGTATTCGCACATCATATTATGTATTCTGTCAGCGAAACAAAGACTGGACTAGCCCAGAGCTTCTAAAATTTTGAACAATATTAAATTTCTTATTTTTGTAAACCTATATAATCCAAATATTTTTCAAGTAGTCATCGATAAACTACCTTTATGAGCGAGGTTTATCAATGTAAATATAGTTTTATGGTATATTATGAAATAAATAAAGTTTCCATTATTATTATTATAAACAGTTTCTTTATTTCTCCGACTACTAGAGGGGAAATCGAACAAGAAATTAGTAAGTTTAAATCAAGTAAAGCTGTTGGTCCCTTTAGTATACCAATTTTTTCCTTAAAATGGTTAAATCAGTCATATCTGAACCTCTAGAATATTTAATTAATATATCATTTTCTAATGGAATTGTTCCAAATGACTTTAAAATTGCGAATGTCATACCAATTTACAAAAAAGGTTCTCTTAGTTGCACATGCAACTATAGACCTATCTCACTCCTTTCTATTTTTGACAAATTATTAGAAAAGTTAATGTATAAGAGACTATTAAATTTTTGGGAAAAAAATAGAGTCTTATTTGAAAGGCAATTTGGCTTTCGCACCATGTATTCAACTGAATATGCAATTTTATCAATTGTAGATAAAGTACAAAAAGCAGTTGACAATCGTAATTATTCAAGTGGAATATTTTTGGATTTCAATAAGGCTTTTGATACTGTTAATCATGAAATTTTAATTCAGAAGTTATCTTGCTATGGGGTAAGGGGCGTTGCTTGCAAGTGGTTTATCGCATACTTCAAACAC